TTAGTATACTTCGTGCGTTGTGAATCAGGAAGTGAGATAAGTACTGAATTAATAATTGCAATGAGTTCTTCTTTTCTTATTGTATTTTCATTTTTTAGTATATTAGCTTCTTGTTCTGTTACTAGAATTGGACGCCAAACATTAGTATTAGTTTGCTGCAATAAGGTATTTTTAATAAGCATTTGTTTTCTTTCTTGTGCTAGTATACTAAATGATTTCATCTCCTCGCTCAAGTTAACATCACCATCTAAATTAGATTTATTTTTAGACTAAAAAACTGTCTCTTCCTCAAATACGTACGAAAACATTGTTGTTCTATATAAGAATCAGGTTGAGTTCGTTGTTCTAAATTCTCATTATCCTCATATCCAATAACATTAAACAGGTTGGTACGCAACTAGATTTTAGTAATCATTACATTATAATTAATTTAATTCAAATTATATTACTACATATAACTAAATTAGAACCTGTCTAATTCTAATTCAGAATAATCAGATTTAACTTGAAGCATAATATTATTGAATTACCTTTATAAAATTTGTATAATTTCTTGCAGCAATCTCCCAATGACGTTGCGATAGTACTGGAGGAATTAAAGACTTTAATGCCTTATTAATTTCTTCTACAACGGCATCAAGTCCTTGATGTTGATTCTGAAGCCCAGAACGAGATACAACTGAACAATTTCACGAATATGAGGCTTCAAATATAATAGATTTTCTTCATGAGATATTTCAAGCATTCTGTAAATTGGATGGCATCTAGATGACCATATTGGTGCAAATTGACGCCTAGCTGCATTACGCAACAAAGGTTGATTATTTCGAACTCCAGTACGAAAGTCAATAATAGCTTAAAGATAAGTAAAAATCTATACTGTATTATTAATTATATTTAGTATTTTTATATTTTATATATAAATTGAAATTAATATGATAACTAACCTGCTCAAATTTTAGTTTATATATTTCGTCAACTTGATTTTTGGCCTATTCCAAATATCCATTGGGAGTTGGATTGTTATGATTTGAAACATATGGCCAAACTAATTCTGATGCCATAGAATAGCAGTAAATATTACATATCAAGTCCCATGATTTATGATGGTCAGCACATTTACAAAAAAACTCTAGCTAGTTATCTGTTCGATATCCTTGGCATTAGGCAAATGCTTTTATATCTATTTCCCTTAAAGATTAAAAACTAAATATAAATAAAAATAATAATAAAAGTAATATAATTTTGAAAATTAGTCTATACCAGTTTAACTCAACAAATGCTTTAAGTATATTCATTTCTTCGTGTAGAGCACCTGGAAGTAAGATTAGCCACAGAAAGTTCTTTCTTAACTTTAATGCTTGATTATAGGGTACGCCATCATATATAACAGGTATCCATTTATGCTTTCCAGATTTAATTCCAGCAATTATTTCTATATGTTCTAAAACTTTTTGAATATTTACTAAAAAATTAGGATTAATAGGAATCAGATCAGGGACGTATAATTCTGGAATTTTTACATTTTGATTTGCTATAATTTTTTGTGTTATACTAATTCTAGATTTTTGTGATTTAATGTTAGATTTATTTTGTTCTTTAAGCTCGTAAGGCTTAAATATTATTGTTTTATTTATATTTTCTGATTCTAATACTAA